GTCATTGTAGTTGCAAAAGAACACTGACAATCTTAAATTAGATCATCAGTGTTCCTGTGCAAATTCAAAGCGGCCAGTGTAGACAACTGGCAGGTTTTTCTGCAAAAGCAGCCGCTTTTGTGGAAAAACTTGCCAGTCTAGACACAGCTTATGTGTATGGGATGTTGACAATAAAAGGTATGGGCCCAGAAGGGGTCTCCTGCTGATTTGTGGACCAGAAGGTGTCCCAAGGCAAGGGGCCTGAGAGAGGACCTTGCCACAACACAGACTAAGTTATTTTGAAATAATGGTGTAGACATCTCCAATGAGAATAACAGAATGCAGTTGTGACAGGAACTGAATGGAGTAGAGAGAAGCAGATTATAAAAGTCCTGGTTGTGGTCTGTGAATGCTAACCAGAATATTAACACTAAGTGACACAGTGTTAGATATTTTTTTACTTTGAAAAAGTATGAATCTGTTTTATGATCTTTTAAAAAGTAGACATACTGCATTGGATCATGTTGTTAAGTTTTTGTATTTATCTGCTCTGATTAAACTGCATATTTTTTTCTTCTCAATATCAAATGTTTGTTTATAGGGCAGCGGAAAGACAATTAATCTGACTATTGGCAACTATAATCAGTTGCTATGATAATTCATTGACATTTTACTGAGTGCATGTTTTAAAGACTTTAGTTACCATTTGCATAACTACTGTACACTAATAACAAATCACCAACAAACATATAGCACCTTACATATGTTCATTTATATGAATTATTTCTAAAAGAAAGAATTGTTACTTGAGATATATATTTAAGCTGGCTATCCAGATATAAAGTGCTTCATTTAAACATGATCAAACTTCTTATGAGTAACTTTACACAGAGCCACAAGAGAAGTTTTGCCTGTCCTCTCATAAAGGACAGTGAAATAATACAACTGAATATTAAAAGTAACATTTCCCTTATATTCATTAATAGGGGATGGACTCTACCATCTTTACTCACAGTGAGTAGCATTTAACTCCACAAGTAGCCCCATTAACCTCGGTGGGGTATTGCTCCATGTGAGCACAAATGCAGTAACTCATGTAATACTCATCAAGAAGCCAGTAAAAAGAAGCCATTCTTTTTCCTTTTGAAGCCAATATGGCTACTTCTAGACTAGCAAATGCTTTTAACGGAAAAGTTTTTCTGTTAAAAGCATTTGTGGAAAAGAAGTGTCTAGATTGGCACGGATGCTTTTGCAGAAAAGCGTCCATGCCAATCTAGATGCAGTTTTGTGCAAGAAAGCCCTGATCACCATTTTTGCCATCGGGGCTTTTTTGTGCAAAACAGTTCTCAGCTGTCTACGCTGGCCCTCTTGCGCAAAAGCATTTGTGCAAGAGGGCTTTTTCCCGAATGGGAGAGTCATTGTAGTTGCAAAAGAACACTGACAATCTTAAATTAGATCATCAGTGTTCCTGTGCAAATTCAAAGTGGCCAGTGTAGACAACTGGCAGGTTTTTCTGCAAAAGCAGCCGCTTTTGTGGAAAAACTTGCCAGTCTAGACACAGCTTATGTGTATGGATAAGTCACTAAAGAATAAAACTTTTGCATACATTTACACTAAAATTAATGCAGCTAGCTTGAGAAAGCAAATGCATATAGGAGCAGCCTTAGAGGAGCTAGGCAAAATGTGTGATCAGTGCTCCTGCCTCCAAAGCCCTCAATGGCCGTTTTTCTTGATGCCCCAGGTGACTGCCTAGTTTGCCTGTATTGATGAGCTGCCACTGAATGCATACTGTTGGTTCTTTTCATAAGACTTGTAATATGCTACATCAAGAGATCTTACAAGTTGTCTGTAATTAGACACAAATTCAGACCATACAGTTTGGATCCAGTCTTCTAAAGTTGAGACTCTAGTTTTATTAGGTTTGAGATCTCAAATTAATCAAAAAGTCATCAACAGCAGGGAGGGGGAAGTAACACAGAACAAGCAGCCCTTGACGACTCTTCCGCTACAATGAAAAGCTTGGTGAATTTAATAGGGACCACAGGATGCTATAGGAATGGCAATAAACCAAAAGCCCCATCTTAGGTCTGTCCCAGGAATTGCACACTAATGGGATGAAGAATATTAGGTTTAAGTCTGGCGTATAAGCCATTTGAGGGGAGCTATGATTGTGCCCACATCTGATTCCTTTGCCAATAGTTGCTTATCTTTTTTTTTTTTTTAAAAAAAGCATGTTTTTAGTATTTTAAATTCATCTTAGCAATGCAGAACCAAACATAATCCAAGAACAGTGAGCTGAGTTTTCCGGCCCGTGAACACAGCGGGAAGCCTCAAGAAGACTGCCTGCCGGCCATTTGTGTTTCACAGCTGTGGAGAAGAAGGGGGAAGAGGTTTCGTGCACTGTCCCTGCCCTTAGAACAATCCCACTGGCGAGTTTCTAGCCAACGGGAGCTGCCTGTTTGAAGAATAGGCAGTGCACAAAACAGCACTCTCCTCTCCGCTCCCCTCAGCCTCTTATTCACAGACCCATGAGGCTCCTGCAGCTTGTGTGGGGGCAGGGAAGGCAAGGGGACTGCTTGAGAAATGTGCTGGGCTGTTGGCAAGGAGTGGCCCATGTAAGCCTCCCAGTCAGAACCTGCTTCTGGCACTCCAGAACTTCCCTCCCCCCAACCCACTGCAACCTCACATAACCCAAACCTTCTGCCCCCTCCTGAACCCATAACCACTCCCAAATCCTGCACCCCATTCCTCTGCCCCAGCTCACAACCCCCTCCTGCTTTAGGTCACAACCCAAACCCCTATACCTCCTTCTGCATCCCAGTTCCCTACCCCAGGTCACAACCCCTTCCTGTCCTATGCAAGGCCGGCCTGAGCCCTTTTGGTGCCCTGATGGATAAGTCACTAAAGAATAAAACTTTTGCATACATTTACACTAAAATTAATGCAGCTAGCTTGAGAAAGCAAATGCATATAGGAGCAGCCTTAGAGGAGCTAGGCAAAATGTGTGATCAGTGCTCCTGCCTCCAAAGCCCTCAATGGCCGTTTTTCTTGATGCCCCAGGTGACTGCCTAGTTTGCCTGTATTGATGAGCTGCCACTGAATGCATACTGTTGGTTCTTTTCATAAGACTTGTAATATGCTACATCAAGAGATCTTACAAGTTGTCTGTAATTAGACACAAATTCAGACCATACAGTTTGGATCCAGTCTTCTAAAGTTGAGACTCTAGTTTTATTAGGTTTGAGATCTCAAATTAATCAAAAAGTCATCAACAGCAGGGAGGGGGAAGTAACACAGAACAAGCAGCCCTTGACGACTCTTCCGCTACAATGAAAAGCTTGGTGAATTTAATAGACAGAACAAGTTTCCTCCCTCCTCCTTATGACACCCTTTTAGATACAGGCAGTCCCCGGGTTACGTACAAGATAGGGACTATAGGTTTGTTCTTAAGTTGAATTTGTATGTAAGTTGGAACTGGTACATATTTTGGGGGGGGACGGGGAGCTGGAGTTAGGTGGAAAAGACCCTGATTCTCATACAACTTCCTTATTCTAAGAAAAACACACACTGTTTTGATATGGTTTTTTTGGTTGATATTTTAATTAAAAATTGATCATAAGTTTCATGCTATATCCAAATCTTCCTTTTGGGGTACCTGAAAGATCCCAGTTATTCATTTAATAGTCAGAATCTTTGTTTTTTATAACTAAAAAAAGTTTATTCAATGCATATTACTGTTCCAAATAGAATTTGCTACAGATGGTTCAGTGAAATGGGTATTAAGTATAATCAATAGTCATTGGAGAGCACAGTGAAATATTGATACAATCAAAGCTGTTGTTGTATTCTGCTGAGCAGAAAATGGAAATCCCTTCCTGTGAAGTGTGTGTGTGAATTTATCCACAGGATTAATTTTAAAGAAAAATTCTGTGTTGGGAACAGGAGTTTAGCCACAGGTGGGTCCTCATTGTCCACTCACCCACTTTGCAACCAGACCCATCCCCTCCGGGCTTACCCTGCTCCGCTCCAGCCAGGGTGTGGGGTTGGGGCTTATCCCCTCTTCCCTTCTGCCCTGCTCCTCCCCATTCTAGCCCACCAACACCACTGGGTAATTTTTCAGCTTCACCTCTGCCAGGCTGGAAGGGACTTGTTAATTTCACGTGATGCTAACAAGATACTTGCAGCTCTAGTGCTGAAGAGGGAAAGAGCTGTTGCTCCCAGGGTGGGGACTGTAACACAATGGGTCTCACTACCTGCTGCTCCTGCTGTTCCCTAGGAAATTAATTTTTCCACTCTGGGGTGCCACCTTTTGGCTGGTGTCTTGTTCCCCCCAGCAGACCCATGTCCTCCACGGTGAGAAAAGCCGCTCTGCGTCTCCCTGGTCTGCTGGGGGGGGAGCGCCAGCTCCGCGTCTCCCTGGTCTGCTGGGGGGAAGCGCCCCCTGCGCCACCGGAGGTGGTGACAGTGGGGGAGGCACCCCGCACTAGCTGCGCCCCCCCTGTAACTAGGGATCCGACGTAAGTTGGATTGATGTAACCCGAGGACTGCCTGTACTTGAAAACTGCTATCATGTCCCCCCTCAATCTTCTCTTTTCTAAACTAAACAAACCCAATTCTTTCAGCCTTCCTTCAGAGGTCATGTTCTCTAGACCATGTTCTTTAGACATAGTCAAATCAATTATATTTAATTATCAAAGATCATCTTCTTGCAATTATCATAATTAAGAAATTATTTGGGGAAGTCTGATTATCTATATTTAAAGTTGAAAAGTGAAGAGTGTTACAAAATCTGATTAAACAATTCTCAGTTTGTACTTTCTGAAGGGAGAATTGAGCAAGAGTCACGACAGAATGTAACGAGGACGTTACCCATAAGCTGAAACTGGGAACTTCAGAGTCATTAGATTGGTAACAACATGACAATTATTGCTTTCAAGACCTAAACTCTTCTGATATAGAAGCTAACTTCAAACAAGGTAATTTAATCAGAACACAGTAAGACTCGTGAATCACACACATAGTTTAAAATTGGAAGCCATTTGTGTTTACTTCTGAGATGTCTGGAGTTGAGGTTTTTTTTTTTTTTAATGAAAGTCAGATATTTAACTTGGTAAAACTGAAGATAACACATTTCAGGCTACTTACTAATAACATAGATTAATTCTTTCTCTGTTTCAAAGTGAGATGAACTGCAGCTCTAATTGTCCAATCTCATTCTAACAGCAATGCAGCATAGAAAAACTACAGTTAGATAGCAGAGGACTGGGAAAGAGAAACATGAATGGCACACATTTTGCTATATTTTTGTACAGTGCCATTGCAAGAGAAATTCATGGCTGAACATCCAACAGTGTTCACAGCTGTTTACTGCTAGTTAAGACAATGTGTCTCAAGGCACTCAACAGCCGTTGCCCATTGTATTCAACACAGAACATCTTCAAATTTTAAGTGATCAGTCACAGTTAAAGTGCAGCAAAGTATTGTCAGGTCCATCTTCGCTTTAATTCATTAATTGACACAATTTTTTGTGATTCTTCTGTCGCTGTCAATTTGTCTGATGCTTTTTGTAACATTAATGGTAACTTCTTTTGTGGGCATTTTCTTGGTGTCCCATTTAGCCTGTTAAAAAGTTTGAAACAATATAGTGAGCTTGACACTGTCAGCAAACTGTGACATTTACAACAGCTATCTGAGTTTTAACAAAATAAATATGCTAAATACACAGAAAGACCAAGTGTTCACCCATTTTTGTAATCTGGCATACATTTTTAATTACGCACAGCAGATCTATCTGGCCTCATCCAAAGTTGATTGACATAAAGAGAAACATTCCCTTTGTCAGTGGGCACTGGACCAAGCCAATAAATCATTTTGACCAACATTAATGCTGCTGTGCATTGATTGAAAAATGTCTCCCCCTCAACAATGGGACTAGTTTTAGCCCATGGATGGCACTGGGGGGGCTCCCATTGGAGAATATGGCAGTTGAGCAAATTTTGTTCGAGACAGAATTTGACCTTAGTTTTGTCTAGGTTTCTGCTGGTCTTAAACCAGAATAGGTTTTTTCAGAATTAGTTTAGATTTGTATAAAAAGAGAATTAAGTCCAATATACATGATACAGAACTGTACCAAATCACTTCCAAAGAATACAGAACTTTACAATACAGTCCTCAATAAAGAAAAGTCACTCCATTTTAAAAGTCAGAATACATAAATAATTTATTTTATTTGCTAGCAACAAATCTGATCCTGGTAATACCAATTGTCCCTTAACAAGAGGTTTGATCCCCTTAAAGTGAACGGGCAAACTTTCTTTGTCAATGAGAGCTTTTTGCTAATAAACGTTATATGGGTACTTCTGATGGTGTCCTAGTTCTTCTGGATCAGCCCAGAATATGGGACTGCACAAGGAAAAAGCTATATCTTAGACACCACTATGAGCACACCTCAGTCAAAGCTCTCTTTTCCAGGAGCATGCTGCAAGCTGCCTTTTACAAGATGCAGTAGCATTCTCCTCTTGCATCCAATCAGCTCTGCTGGCCAACCCGTGAAGGTGTAAAGTCCTTGTTGATCTTTAGTCTATCCCAGTATGGTCATTCTTATGTGCTTATGACCAATATTCTCACATTAATTCCTTATGCTCCTCCGTCTCTCTGCCTCTTGTCTTGGAGGATGATGATGATTAGCAATTATCTATATTACTATAACATCCTGGAGCCATTGTCATGGTACTTGCTGTGCTATAACATGGAACAAGAAGTCAATCCCTGCCCTAATGAGTTTATAATCTTGGTATAAAACAAGAGACAACAGATAGATAAAGACAGGCAGTCTGTAAACCCATTGGGACACAATGTCTCTTTTGCGCAAAAGCATGCCAATGTAGACACAGCCTGAGGGTAATAGTACTACAGGAATTAGAAATGTTCTACTGTAGTGTTTCTCAAACTGCTTTGTGGAGCCCCAGAGCTCCGTGAGACATCTCCAGGGGCTCAGTGAAGTTGATAAACTGGAAACTTTGATAGGTACAACACATACAATCAGTGGACCGCTGGGGTGCCGCATACATTTTTATTTATCCGGAGACCAAAAAGTTTGAGAACTGCTATTCTACTGAATTAGAAATGTTCTACTGTACAAGTGTTGGCTGGAGGGCCTTGAATAAATTATATAGTCTGAGCACTTTCTGTGGTGAACAAAGAAAGGTGAAGCATGTGTCCCATTAGAGATCCTTCTCTATTAACCTCTGCTCATGTATATTAATCTGATTATTTTAACAGGAGAAGTTATGGGCTTTTCCCTCAAGGTGAGATTTAAATACAGTATATACTATGGATGAGTACTGTACAGGCAGTCCCTGAGTTACGCGGATCCGACTTATGTCGGATCCGCAGTTACGAACAAGGATTTTCTCGCCCCGGAGGACTGGAGCGGCGGGACGCCTGGTCCCGCCACCTGCTTCCTCCGGGGCGAGAAAAGCTGCTCCCCATCTCCCTGGTCTGCTGGGGGAGCCAGCAGACCAGGGAGACGCTGAGCAAAGCCGCAGAGGACCTGGGCCGGACCCGCGGCGCTTCCAGATCAGCTGGAAGCGCCGCAGGTCCAGCCCGGGTCCTCCGCGCTTTGCTCAGCGGCTCCCCGGTCTGCTGGCTCCCGCC